CCCCCCCCGCCAGCTGGTGGGCACCATGGTGGTGCCACAGCAGCTCCCCAGGCTGATGGCTGGTGCGCAGCCCCAGCCCTTCCCTGTGGGTTTTGGGGAGCTAGCTCCCACAGCCTCTCTGGATGCAGCATCCTCTCCCAGCCAGGAGCCCACCTTGGGGCTATACCCGTTTGTCAGGGAATCTCTTCCCCTGGCTTTTATATGCAAGTGCTGCCAGAGACATTTCTGTCCCACTGGGTCAAAAGAATACATCTGCCTTATTTCAAACCAAAAGGTGCTTACCCCTCCTCCTCCTCCTCCCCCCCCCCAAATCTTCAGGAAAACAGTATTTAAGGTTTCTAACCCCCTTCCACACGCTTTTTGAAAAACAAAACATCAGTGATAGCAAACGCTGGCGTCAATCCCATACCAGGACAAAACCACAGGCAGAGTCTCACAAGAGCAGGACACCTTCCCACACGGGCAAGCTCCCAGTAGAAGCTTTGCTCCAGAAAACACAGCAAACCAAAGCTCAGAGCCCCCTCTGCCTCCAAACTTCTCCCACTGCAAGGCTGTAGCCCCCAGCGAAACCCAGACATAGGCACCAAAAGCAGCAGGTTCCCAGCCTGCCCTGCAAGGCCGAGCAGAAGGAGCAGGACCACCAGCCCCAGCACGCAGAATTGTGCGTCAAGGCGTCAAAATGCAACGCTTCTAAAAGAAAAATAAATAAAAGAATCGAATCAGCAGCAAACACTACTGAAAATAAGTAGCACGGGGACTTCACAGGGATTTTTGGTCTAATATGCCTGGGGAGCCCCTTCACTGGTGGGGACTGGGGTGCACATCCCACCCTGGAAAAGCACAAGCCGTGGCTGAAGCTTTGCAGGAGCTCGGCCACATTCTGCGGAGCGATGCCGCAGGGATGTGCCAGCACACCAGAGAGAGCAAAGCAGCCCTGGGCTGGGTGTCCCGACAGCCAGGCTGAGGACAGCACTGCTAACACCACAGGAAAGGCTTTGCACAGAAGTGCCGAATACGGCAACCCTCCTCAGGCTCTCCTGGCAGCAGGACAGAAGATGGGATGCTCCTAGTGGGAATTACCCGCATCCCCAGAGCAGCACAAACCTTCCGTGACGCGAAGGCAGGGGCATGAGCCAGAGGAGCCACAGCGCTCATGCCGGGGCAGCGGATGGAGAGAAAGCTGTAACCATCTGCCTGGGAGCGATGGGGCACCTGGGGCATTGGCAGTGCAGCCACAGCTTTCGCCTCTGCTGCATCCCAAGGGCAAAATGTCAGGAATTACAGGTCACAGCCCATGGCACCAGCACTGCCCCAGGGACCAAACGATGCCAGCCATCCAGGCAGCAAGGGGCGAGGAGAAAGGCAAATAAAGCCCTGTGTTAATCCCCAAAGCACCCACAGCAGCAGGAGGCAGTGCCCAGGCAAACCCAGGCCTGCCCCATGCAGCCTCTGCTCACACCCCTGCCTCCGACCCACGGAGAGGAGACCCCCATCCCTGCAGAGCCTGGGGAGTTACCGCAAAGCATGCCGTCTCCTCCCCACCAGCGCCGGTATCTACCTGCTCCCTTGGGTGGCTGAGGAGGAGGAGGATCTCCACGTAAACTGGCATTTCCATGGAAAACGAGCAAGCACCCAACTTCTTGCAAGGGACTTGAGTCTGCAATGGAAGCGTGTGAGTCCCAGGGTACCTCCAAGCTGGTTTGGGTACCCCACGGTCAGCAAGCACCTGCTCGCTGTGGGCTGGGTGAACAGGCTCCCAGTTTCTCGCTCAGCTGAGAATTGGTTTTGCTTCCATAAGAAAAGGGCCAGCGGGATTGGGAGGGGGGAAGGTTGAGGAACTGCAAAGATTTAGTGCACCTTAAAATGAAAGGACATCTAACCTGCCCTTAGATCTCACTCCAAGACGGAAAAGAGCTACAGCATCTCCTACGCTCACAACTACTCCAAACACACCCAGACACATGCAAAACCTCCCACTTCCCCTCAGCTGCTGAAAAACCCCTCCCAGGCAGCAGCGATGGCCAGCACCGGGCTCCTGCTCTGCTCCCAGGCTCTCCTGCCCAGTCCCAGCAGGCAGGGCGAGGGGTCGATTATCGATCCAAAATGCATAGGTATAGACACTGCGGGGACACCCGCGCCCCAGTGGGAAGGGTCACCGCAGGAGCCCTCCGCGTCCAGCAGGCACGGTCTCCGCTTCTACCTCCAGCTGGGTGGAAAGCAGCATTTGCCACAGGCACGGTTCGATCGCACTCATGCTCCTTGCATTGCCCTGCAAGGAAAGACAAGTCGTTTAGGTCAGACAGCCTCTTAGCCAGCCGCAAGCCCCTAGAAGTACTCAATTCTGCTTTCTGGGAAATCCTGCAGCTCAGCGATCCCTCTTCTGTGCCCCCACGCCGGCCAGGCTCTCTTTCTGACTAAGGAGGAGCCGCATTTCCAACCACAGCTACAAAGGCAGGAGAACCAAAGAAGTCTGCTTTGGTTCAGAAACCCCGTTCATTTGCAGCAGGCTGACAGCACCCCAGTCCTCACGCACGCGCGCCGGCGCTGCTCTACTTGGGAGGTATCACGACTATAGGCTGGCCTCGCTTGGGTCTCCACATGAGGACTTGGGCATCGTTGGCGTTGGGTTTCACTAGTGCGTTTGGTGGGATGGGCTCCATCCTGCTGAGGATCCGGGGCTGCTCCTGCTGAGTCCTTCCCACCAGCCGTGCCCGCTGCCCCAGCAGCTGCATGGGATCCACCTCAATGTCCACTCGCATCCTCCACTTTATAGTCTGCAAGATGATCTTTTCCTTGGTGGTGGTGTTCATGGCCACCAGCCATGTGGTAAAGCTCTGGTCCCTTTTAATCCTGGTCAGCAGCGGCACGTTACTGTTGCTCACAGGGACAGCCCATGTCACGCTGGGGTAGAAATTGTCATTCATGCTCACCGAGAACCTGGAGATCTTGTTAGTGGGCCCAACCAGGGTCACCGTTTCTGTGGTGTTTCCATACCAGGGGTAGCTCACACCATCCGAATCGCTGATGGCTTTTACTCTTCCTTCTCGCAGGTCGGGCAGCTCCCAGCTTGACCTAGCAAATGGGAAGAGAAAGGCCAGTTTAGGGGGGAAACAGCAGTGACAGCGCCCAGCAAGGGACAGGAAAGCAGGGACAAGGAGGCAAGCAGCTTGGGGACCCTCTCACAGCCTGCAGCAAGCTCTCGAGGACTTCCTTCAAGAGCAAATTCAGCTTTGGTTCCTTCACCAAGCCAGTCACGGCTAGCTGAAACCTTTGTTCTGCCAGCAAAGCACTATTTTAAGTAACCCACAATCAAACCAACTGGGCCAAAATTCATTGCTGAGTCTCTCTGGGGCCATTCTCGCCTTAATCAGCTCCTGTGCCGGAGGAGAACAGCCATCCCCATCTGCCAGCTGCAGCACCACGACCACGGCACTGGCCAAGCCCGTCAGCAGCCCCCTTGTGTGATAAAACTCTGTGCCTCTACATACATACGCCTGCACAGAGACACGTACAATAATTAAACACCACAATTACGCCTGCTGCTGGTGTGATGAAGTCCCTGCAATATGGCTGGGGGGGAAATTCCAGCCCAAATCTTGGCTGCCAACCACGTTAGCAACACCCCGCGCGACTACAGCAAGGGAGACGATCGCCACGTGGCAATTACAAGCGGGGAGCTTTGGTGAAACCTCCTGCTGAGTCCAAGCTCTGGCTCCAAACGCATCTGGGCTCTGGAGCTGCCTGCAAGCGGCTGGAGACACCCGGGTGCCATCCCCCCGACAAGAGACGACCTCCGCTCGCTCCAGCGTCCCCAAGTGCTCCAGTGCCACGTGCAAATGAATCTGCCACGACGCAAGGACGCGGGCAGGCAGCAGGAGG